ATCTTTATTATCCTGGATGCTCTCTTAGCTGTTTTAAAACATGGGCTCATCCATGCCTCCGGGGTGGGTAATATTCCCTGAAGCCCAGAGAATGGATTCGCTCAGGCTTACCTGGCTATGGAGTTGCACAGCAAGGATTCGAACTCAGCCTGAGTTCAGAGCCCCAGCTGGTTCCACTCCTCCCACAGCCTCCAAGCCATAGGTTCTGCCCCAGTACTTATTAGCTCTGTGGACTTAGACAAACCCCTTGGCTCCCGAGACCAGCTTATCTCAGAATTGTTGTAAAGATCAAAGGAGACAAAATGCACGAGCACATTGCTCTCTGCAAAGACTCTCCTGCAATCATGACGACATTGCTAACAATAACGACACTTACCAAGCACCTACTATGTGCCAGGCATGGGGCGCACTGCTTTGCAAGACTCGTTTCATTTACTTCTCACAATAATCTGTGAAGTGGTACTATGACGCACATTCTAGGAGTGAAGAAACGGAGGCTCGCAGGGGTGAAGTAAGGGGCAAGCAGCAGGGGCCAGGCTGGGTAGTTGGGGGGGGGAAGGGGGGGAGGGGTGAGCAGCATAACCTACTTCAGAGCCCTCACCAGGAACCAGATGCTGAACAAGAAAGGTCTTCCCACTACCTTCTGTGGTTTTATTGCCTTCCTCCCCTGTGGCCACAGGGCTTAGATGCACTGGCCTAGTTTGAGACTTTCCCCTTAGATGCTGGAGCGAGAAATTGTCACTGTGGGAAGTCCTGTGTGATCTGCAGTTGAAGGAGACTGCCTTCAGTTTTTATCTGTAGCTTGTCTTTGTCCAACTGAATTGAAAGATGCTGCCGAGGACATTAACCGCTTGCTGGGGATGTGCCCCTCCTGCATGAGGTCCCGAGTTGGGAGACAAATAGGCCCAGAGCTCCGAGGGTTCACAGTCGGGTGGGGGAACCTGTACTAGTATTTTTCTGAGCCCCATCTATGAGCCGGGCTCTGTGTTACGTCCCGGGGACACAAAGACGAGCAAGATACAATACATTGTGATGCGGGCCGCAATGAGGATGTGTCCAGGTGAATCGGGGCCCAAAGGAGAGGCACCTGACCCTTTCGGGTGGGCGTGGAACAGGTTCCAAGAGCCTCCCCAAGGAAGTGGGGTTTCAGAGCTCTGTACTGACTGTCCACACTGCTAAAGAGTTTCCATGTATATAACCTCTCATCCTCGCAGCAACAATCCTATTGGGCAGATATTTTTAGTTTATAGATGAGTATTAAGTAACTTGCTGGAGGTATCACAGCAGTAAGTGGCAGAGCCTGATGCTGATCCCAGGAGCTCGGACTCCAAGCTCACCAGACTCTAAAGTTTGTGCTCTTTCTAACATGCAGGGTTGCCGCAGAGAACACTGGGCCAGCAGCGCTCCGCTGGAGACAGAAACAGCCCACCATGGATGAACACAGCAGGGAAGGGGCACTGCCCCGCCATCTGGAAGGTGATGTGGAGAAGGCATCACAGGCCCGCACAGGTTCTTTCCTTGTTCTGGTGCGTCCTCTGGGCCATGGACGGGGAGGAACATCCTGGAGGGTCAAGGCCATCTGCCCAGCAGTCTAGACCAGGTGAGTGTTTTCGGTGGTGAGGTAAGGTGAGGATGAGGCATCATCTTTAGGTTGTAAGAAATTGAAACCCACTCATACTAACTTGAGAAAAAGAAAGAAAAGAAAAACAAACACGTGGGGCGCCTGGGCGGCTCAGTAGATTAAGTGTTCGACTTCGGCTCAGGTCATGATCTCGCGGTTTGTGGGTTCGAGCCCCGCGTCAGGCTCTGTGCTGACAGCTCAGAGCCTGGAGCCTGCTTTGGATTCTGTGTCTCTGGCTCTCTCTGCCCCTCCCCTGCTCGTGCTCGGTCTGTCTCTCTGTCTCAAAAATAAATAAACATTAATTAAAAAAAAAAAAAAAAGAAAAACAAACAAGAAAGGGAGTGTTTCTTTAAAGAAGTCAGGCATTTCGCAGAACCCAGGCTAGAAGTGCATTGTGAGCACGGGGGGATGGAGTGGTGGGGGGACATCACTCAGCGGCCGTCTTGCCCAGTCTCCACCCTGTTCATCTTTCCTCTCTGTAGTCTGGCTTTCGCTGTCTCTGGTAGTTAGCAGGGCCGAAGATGCTTCCAAACACCTGCTCAGATCTAACATCTCTGAGCTGCCATTCTAAGTCCCCAGGAGACAATGTGATTTGTTCCCCTGGGGCCACAAGGCTAAGGCCAGGGAGTGTGGGTGTCCATTCTCAGAGAAGGCAGAGTTTGGGTGGCTGGGCAGACCCCCAAAGGTCATGCTGGAGTGCTCTGGAGAGGTGTCCAGCTCTAGATATTGTCAGCACCCATGTTCTGGAGAGACGGTGCTGAGAGGTCTGCCCTTTAAAGTAATACATTGGCTTCGCATTTATAAGTCTTCTGTGGCATTATTAAATCCATAAATAAAGATTTAATCTTTTAAGCTCTGCATCGTGAGGGCAGAAGTTAAAGGGCAGGCAGAGGAGAGCTCATCAACGTTGGTTTGATGGGGGTTAGGGGGGTAGCAAGGGAAGAGCGTCCAGGCTGCTGGGGCGGAGGAGGAGGGAGGAGAGGCGGCAGCTGCTGATAGGGGCTAAGGGTGGAGGGACCCCCTGGCCTGCCCTCCGACAGAAAAGCTCTTGCACTGGAGACCACTGCCTGAAGAGGCAGCCAGAGACAGGCCGGACGGCGGGTCCTCAAGAGAGCCATCCTGAAAGCTGGGAGAACTATCAGGAGTGTCAGCAGCTCTCAAAATGAGCGGGTTTTGAGCTGAACAGGTAAAGAATGGGAGCACTGTTGGGGGAGGATCCCAGGAGCCTGAGGGAAGGAAGGGGCGTGTGCACAAGGAGAGGGACTGAGCCTGGGGAGGACGAGCCAAAGGGCTCTGCTTCCTGCTTAGCCCACAGCCCTGTCCCAGAGGAAGCCCCGACACCTGAATCAACTGCTTCATCCTCACATCTCTGCGCTTCCCTCCCCGCCATCCAGGGCTCACGCAACGTTGGCTTATCCTTGATGAAAATGGCAAGACGATCACTTTGGTTTCTCCGGCAGGCAGACACGAAGACCAGCACCAGGGAGGAGAAGATACTGAGCACAGAGCGGAGAGCTTGGGAGTTAGGGCAGGAGACTGGGGGCCAGAGTAGGGGAAGGGGAGCCCTCTCCACCCGGCCTTGTGATGGGGGCAACGTCTAGACCACCCATCTGGGCTGACAGCTGTACCCGGAGGCCTGGGCCGCTAACCGTCGTAGGGCCAGGTGTTGGAGGCAAATGTGGAGCTACTCTTTGAGCTCTTAGTCCCTTCTCCACCATTAGGACCTCTGCTTTCCACTGTCTTTGGTTCAACCCAAACCAGAGGTCACACCTGTCTCTGCCACGTGACGGGTTATGGAGGGTCCGACAAGGGGCGGTGAGACTGGTGTCTGATGATAGGATTCGGCTACCGAGCCTCTCTCCTTGAGCAGCAGATAATTTAGTTTAATGAATCTGGACAGTTCACTGGATCTGCCCACACAGTTCCACTCACCTTCCAAAACGCTTCCAAAATAGCACTAGCTATTGTACAAGAGCCAAAAAAAAAAAAAAA